GATAGTTACAGGGTAAAGTGAAAACTAAACTGTTTGGTTGTGAAATGAACCTAGCACTACATAGACCCCAATCACTGACACAGCATGTACAGTAATAACAGCCAACAATTACAGAATGCTGGAAAGTCCTTTGAGAAGCAGTCAAATGAAACTCACAGCATCTGCCGTGGGAAAAATGTTGAGGATATTGTCCACTGTATCACCCAGGTCCCCACAGGAAAGACCCCATTAAAAAATTTCTTCTTCTTTTTTTTTGAAAGCTGAGACAAGCTTTACTTCCCTTGAGGAAACAGTCTGTCACTCCTGAGCATGAAAGTTATGTCCTAACTGTTCATTTCTCTTTCTTTTTTTTTTTTTTTTTTTTCCTGAAACGGAGTCTCGCTCTGTCGCCCAGGCTGGAGAGAAGTGGCGTGATCTCGGCTCACTGCAAACTCTGCCTTCCGGGTTCAAGCGATTCTTCTGCCTCAGCCTCCCGAGTAGCTGGGACTACAGGCGTGCACCACCACGCCCAGCTAATTTTTGTATTTTTAGTAGAGATGGGGTTTCACCATATCGGCCAGGCTGGTCTCGAACTCCTGACCTCATGATCTGCCCACCTCAGCCTCCTAAAGTGCTGGGATTATAGGCATGAGCCAACGCGCCCTGCCACTCTCACTCTCTCTCTCTCTCTCTCTCTCTCTCATTTTTTAAAGCTTTTAGGAAGCTCACAGTCAAATCAAAATTCAAATATAGCATAGGTCTTGATCGCCTATACCATTAATCTCAAAACCACTCTTTAATCTCACCATCCCCATAGGGAAAAATTTAAGGACAACTCCCTACTAGATGTGTATTTATTTATTTATTTATTTATAAATCATATACATGGCCAGGCATGGTAGCTCATGCCTGTAATGATGGCACTTTGGGAGGCTGAAGCAGGCGGATCACTTGCATCCAGGAGTTTGACACCAGCCTGAGTAACATAACAAGACCCCATATCTACAAAAAAATTAAAAATTAGCCAGGCATGGTGGCACATGCCTGTAGTCTCAGCTACTTGAGAGGCTGAGGAGGGAGGATCACTTGAGGCCGAGAGGTTGAGGCTGCAATGAGCTATGATTGTGCCACTGCAGAGTGAGAACTTGTCTCTAAATAAATACACAAATAAAATACATGTACGTCTATTATTACCTGATATTTTAAAGCATAATATACACAGAGGCCAGGGCTCATTGTCAATGACTGAGGATATAAATCCATATTTCAAAGGGTCTTCTAGGGGCCGGGCATGGTGGCTCACGCCTGTAATCCCAGCACACTGGGAGGCTAAGGTGGGCGGATCACCTGAGGTCAGGAGATCGAGACCAGCCTGGCCAACATGGCAAAACCCCACCTCTACCAAAACTACAAAAATTAGCCAGGCGTGGTGCCAGGTGCCTGTAGTCCCAGCTACTTGGGAGGTTGAGGCAAGAGAATCCCTTGAACCCAGGAGGCGGGGGTTGCAGCGAGCCGAGATCACACCACTGCACTCCAGCCTGGGCAACAAGAGTGAAACAGTCTCAAAAAAAAAAAAAAGTCTTCTAATAATTTCAAATTGTTTTAATTTCTTCTTTCACACCCAGTTAGATTGGACTGTCATAACATTTACTTCCAATGAGGCTAACAAAGAACTTGTCTGAGTAGTAGGAGAAGCACCAGCTTTGCTATTTTCTTATTTGCTTGAATATAATGCTAGCATGTGAAGTGAAAGAAGTAGTTTCTGTGCGGAAGTAAGTTTCAGCTTGCTATCCTCCTTCTCTGAGGATTCACATAAACATGAAGAGTATAAGCCACAAACCCATGGAACCGGACACAGGTGACATTAAATGAAGACCCAAAGGAAGTGAGGGAACCAGCTAGACAGTTGTCTAGGGGAAGAGCGTTATAGGCAGAGTCAACAGCCAGTGGCAAAGCCCTGGGGCAGGAGTGTGCCTGGTTTGTGGGAGGAACAAGGAGCCCCAAGTGGCTGGAGAGAAATGACGAGAGGAGTCAGAGAGGAGCTCAGAGACTTCACGCAAGGCCAGATCCCACTGGGCCTCACAGACCATAGTAAAGATTTTTGCTTTGGCCATGAGTGAGATGACAAGCATGAGTGTACTGCAGGATGCCACAGCCTGCCGAGAGCAGCCAAAGCAGGGAGGTGGCCCTGCCAGCCTCCCTGTGGTGTGGAACTCCTGCCCGCATTCCTCAGGGCCCTGTGTCTTCCCTTGGTGTTGTGGGCTGGTAGAGTGAAGCATACGCCAGTCACCATGTTAAATATGACTAAATCTTCATGCCTCTCCTTTTGGAATGAAGAGTGACTCTGGCTAAACATACCTAAACATTCTAGTATGAGCATATGTTTTCCCATACCACAGTTGAGTCTGTGGATACACACCACTTTGGAACTCACTATCTGTCCCTCCATCCATTTCTACATTTTCCTGGTCCTAACTCGTCCTGACTTTGGGCCCTCACTCTTGAGTTTTATTTATAGTAACCATTATTTTTGCCTGGGTTCTCATTAAACCATTTATGGAATGGAAGTACATATTTCTACATGTTGCAAACAGAATGGATGCAAGAAACTGAATGAGGCCTCCCACTCTCAATGTCCATCTTGTTATTTTGCCTAATCACATATTTGGGAATCTGTAAGTTTGGGGTTCTTCCATGCACCTTTATCTGCAAACCCTTCAAGGTCATGTTCAGAGGAATAAATGAAACGTGATTATCCACTGCAACATGATTATCAACTGAGGAATAAATGTAACATGATTATCAACCAGCATTGATTATCAACTGAAACTGAAATACCTAGACTTTAAGAAGATGTTAAGTATGTATCAAAATAAAGATTAAGGCCAGGTGCAGTGGCTCCCACTTGTAACCCCAGCACTTTGAGAGGCCCAGGCAGGCACACAGCTTGAGCTCAGGAGTTTGAGACCAGCCTGGGCAATATAGGGAGACTCCCACCTCTACAAAAATTACAAAAATTAGCCAGGCATGGTGTCATGCACCTGTAGTCCCAGCTACTCAGGAGGCTGAGGTGGGAGGATGGCTTGAGCCCCGGAGATGGAGATTGCAGTGAGCTGAGATCGTGCCACTGTTCTCCAGCCTGGGCAACAGAGTGACACCCCATCTCAAAAAAAAAAAAAAAAAGTACAAAAAACAAAATAAGGGTTAGGACCAGTGACAAAATTAGGATTAGGGTTAGATTTGGGTGATGAAAACCCTTAGAAAACAGTGACTTTAACATACTAGGTTTTATTCATACATGTACAAAAATGTCCAGAGCAAAGGTCTCTAGGGTTAGTCTGGACACTCCATGAAATTATGTGGGGTGCAGGCACCTTCCAGGTGTTCCTAGGATGTGATCCTCATCCCTGGGATTTAAGGCAGCTAGATCTCCAACCACCATGGCCGGTGGCAGGGAAGGGGAGCAGGGGATATGATGGTTCTCTGTAAGGACACCATCCAAGAATGCCCCACGCTGCTTCCCCCTTCATCTCATTGGCCAGCAGTTATCCAGCCATACTGGTGAGTGGGAAATGCAGGCACTAAAAATCAGGGAGAATGGTTACTGGGAGAACAACAAGCAGTCTCTGCCACATCTGCCTTAAAACTTGACATTTTCATTAGCAAAAGATAGGATCCCACATCAGAATTGCATTCAGTAGATTCTGACGCTAGACCATCAAGTTAGAACTGATTCTGATTTTGTATGTGTGCATCCATTCAAAGATTCATTATATATTACCACCGATGGAATATTTAAAATAAGAAATATATTGGGAATATATTACACATGATAGAGGCCCTGAACATTATCTCTCTGTGAATGTACAGTTAGTATTATCCATGGTGTTTGGACATGACTGAAAGCACTTTTTCTGTCTGATAGAACCCTGCCATTGCTTTAGACAATCAGAAGCCTTCTTGATAAGTACGTTGGGTTTTGCAAACCTGATCCTCCTTCAGATGCATGAGGGAAGTCCACTGAGTGAAACCCACAGTGAATTTTGGAGGTTAAGACTTCCGTCTTATAATGTGAACAATCACACTCTAGCACATCTGCATCAGAATTGGAAATGTTCACTTATTCAATTTTCCTAAGGCCGTACAATTTCACTAGTGATTTTAACAGATTAAAAGAAAATCTCTAAAACAAACCCAATGCAAACCTAATAATGGCTCATGATTTCCCTTTTGAAGTCTCATCTCAGCCACTGCTATGTGTCCCCTAGAGACCTCACTGGAGAGTTGGTCACTGGGTTTTTGCAACTTTCCCATAGACCTCACTTCAACAGCTAGAGATGTGGGCAGATGCTGAGTGACAATTTTCCTTCCGTTGCGGAACATGAGTCAGGGAGGGAATTCACTGTGCAATGACACACGTTTCGCATCTTTCAGGTGCCAAATGTTCAAAGGATAAAAATACCTCCACTGGCCACTCCCCAGAATAAGATAGGCAGTGGCCCAATCGTGAGCTCACACTGCACCCATGACTTCACACTCCAATTGGGAGGGCTGTGCTGTTTCGAGCTAATCAAAGAGGGAGCCTAAAAGAGACAGGTTCTCCTTTCCTGGGCCACGTTCTCCCTCACCAAATCTGGAATACCTGCTCACTCAAGTTTATAGGAATAGTTCAGGAATCGGAATCGTTCCATTGAGCTGAAGAGTAAAACATGTTGGAGACGGGGATTGAATGATCTGTGTGCTTCATGAGTGATGGAATTGCCATAGCAAGTGGTGTGGTTTCCAGAAAGCTGACAGCATCTGAGTACATTTGCCCATCCCACGACCATTACCTCCAACCCATAAGGAAGGGAGGAAATCTCTGCCTCTGTTTTATATTTCTTCCCCTCTGAAGGGAAAGAAGAAAACGATAAAATCAGGAGGCTGCACACTGCCTAAGACATTTACATTTAAGCTGGACCAAGCACTACCCATGTATCACAGGCAACAATTTCGCCCTAACAGAGAAATGGACTAAGTGACTTAATGGGTATTTTCCATCTTTAATTTCCATGATTAAAAGAAAGAGGTTGAGAGGGGTACATGTGGAGCCTATTGTGAGTTTGCCAATGAATCCTAATTTAGATCAAAGAGAGTCTATGTGACACTGAACCATAAACACCCTAGTGTGCGTTACTTCAAGGAAGTTGTTAGTGTGCCCCCGATGGCTATTATGTGATATAGTTGCGCTCGATAGCCTGCACCCTTTAATTACTAATATAGAAGAAAATCCCATATAAGAGGGAGGAATGTAAATGAGACCTCTGCTCTTTTGAACATTTTATGCATTTGCCAAATTAAAATTTGCTGTGGACTTTGGTTTTCCCTGATCACTGTTGGTAGTGATCATTTGGCTCATGGGATTAAATCCAACTTCCCAAAAACTATTTCCGATCAGTGTGCAGATTTCAGATATTTATATGTGCTTTGCGTTGAGACATGAATCATCAGAACCAGATTGGAGACAACTTCTTTGAAGTTTTGAAAGGTATGGAAGAAATTCTCTTTCTTCTCTTTCATTCTCATCTTTCTGCCGATCATTGTTCAAGGGCAGGTTGAAGGGGCTGCAACTGAGAGAGGGGCCCCAGGATTCCAGAGATAAGATGTCATACCACACTCATGCACTGCCTTCAGTTTGTGCATGTAGCTTTCATGCACAGAGGACGCCACTTGAAGGACTCAGGTATGGATCAGTAAGCGTGACTGTACTCACTTCAGTGGGGGTTGCTTACATTGAGTTTTAAAGCACAATTATAAGATGAGCGCAACCACAAACGTCAACTGGATCAGCATGATTTTAACGATACTTCCATCTTTAGGATTTTTCTGTCCTCAGCACACCTGTAGAAAAAAAGAATTGACTACTCGGGAGGCTGAGGCAGAGAATCATTTGAGCCCAGGAGTTAGAGGCTGTAGTATGCTGTGATCACACCTGTGAATAGCCCCACTGTGCTCCAGCCTGGGGCAACATAGTGAGACGCTGTCCCTGGGGAAAAAAAAAAATTAACAGCTTTGCACTTAAATTAGCAGCTGAGTGTAGAATCAGACCCTGTACAAAAGCAAAGATGCTTATTAGACTGAGTGACTGTAGAAGATGTTAACCATTCAGGGAGATCTGCCATGCCCAATACTGCATCTTGTTCAATAAAGCAAACTCCTTCTTTGCCATCTGTCTCATACTACAAAGAGATAATAATAATAAAATCATTGCTTAATGAGTAAACTAAGTAGATGATAATTCCCTAGTAGATCATATTGGTGTTCTTCTCCAAAGGCTGCCATATTCTCAATGAGGCAGAGAACACGGGGGAGAGCATGTGATTGTGCTCAGACGGGGATGCCTAAAATCAAAAACCAAGGCAGCATATGTCAGCATTTAAAGCCCCATCAAAGAAACATCCAACTTTTCAGCTGTAACCCAAATATAAATTTTCCTTACCCTGTCAATTAGCAGATTACAAAACTTCTGTAGCAGGAAGACCATTCTGCCAGCAAAGCCGTAGTGTTTGGAATGGGTCCAGGTCAGACAGATGGTGTGGAAAAGGGGTGCAATGAGACGTTCCCTATCAGCAAAGTCAACTGTTCTTCCATGCAGCACATGCAGCCTTTGAAAGGAAGAGCCACAAGGTGAAGTGTGTCTCCCACGCAGCTGGAGAAGTGTACAGATGTCTAGAGGCACCCAAGTGACACGACAAGCACAACAGTAGGCTGCCTTAGGAGAAGCATTTAGAAAAGAAAAACATGCAAAACATTCAGTAACTGGAAACCTTGTTCTTTGGCACCTAAAAAGTGCCCCCCACCCTAAGCTGATGAGCATAAAAAGCAGAGTCATATCTTCTCCAAGCATGATATTAGGATAACAGAGAGTTCTTGACTTCTTTGGAATGCTGACTATGCTATGTATGGTCAAATGATATAAACATGGGAAGAACACAAAGGATATTTGCTATACTATTATTAAATGTCACCTGTGCATGTCACAGACTATTTGCAAAACTTGTTCACTTATAAATAGCACCTACTCGGTTGCACAGAAAAGCTTGATTCAGGAATGAATGATTAATAAAGTTATTATGCATAGTAGCAATAACAGTCCACTGAATCTTAAGTTTTAAAATGAAAATATTGATGACAATTTTAACAATTTTTAACTTAAATTTCCTTTCATTATGATCAAAGAAGCAAAGCTACTTCATTAACTTAAATATTTTTAGGCCAATAAAAGTGTCTTTGGGCTGGGCTTGGTGCTCACGCCTGCAATTCCAGCACTTTGGGAGGTGGAGGCAGGTGGATTGCTTGGGCCCAGGAGTTTGAGACTAGCCTGGGCAACATGATGAAACCCCGTCTCTACTAAAAATACAAAAATTTGCTAGGCATGGTAACACATGACTGTAATCCCAGCTACTTGGGAGACTGAGGCACGAGAATCACTTGAACCCAGGAGGCAGAGGTTGCAGTGAGCCGAGATTGTGCCATTGCACTCCAGCCTGGGTGACAGAGCAAGACTCCATCTCAAAAAAAAAAAAAAAAAAAAAAAAAAAGAGTCTTTGTTGCTGTCTCTCTGAATTAATCATGACCAGTCACTTGTAAGCACTAACAACGCACGAGGCACTTAACCTGTGTCAGCTGACTTCATACTCTAAACATCACTGCAAGATGGATTTATTGTCATCATTTTAGAGGTAAGAAATTAAAGACCCAAGAAAGGAGCCTGGCCATGCACTGACAGTAACTCATAGCACCACTATTCTGATTCCAGGAATCTAGTTCAAAAGCCTGTTTTTTTCTCCATTCCATCACCATGCCCCCCCAAAGTGGGAGATGGCTATTTGTTGCAAGTTCCAAGTCAAACTGTCTTCAGATGGAGAAGTACCATGTGATGATGCAGATCGATTGGCCTAATGCACAAGGGCCGGTTGTAGTTCAGTCATAATTCCTATTTCAGCTAGCTCCAGGTGTTGGCTCTGGTGCATAATTTCGCACCATGAAGTGTTTGTGCCCAAGCACAAGCTGGAGTCCTACCTTGAGGTAGTTCCTCCTGAAGGTGTTCCTGCATGACCAGGAACCTGGGTCCACTTGGCCACCTGTCTTCTACCAAGTGAGAGCGATAGAAACACAAAATGTGGCTGTGGCAATTTTGACTTTCACAATGCCCCTCCTCCACCAAGTCCTGACTCTTTTTCTGCGGCACATTTTGCTCACTCACCCACAGAGGCTTGGGGTGAGGGGACTCTCAGCTGAAATCATGTAGACATTGAGGCCATTATCCTGACGATACTGGCTTAAATTCTTTTCAGCTGCTCTAGCAAAAGTGAACTCTGCCTTCATACAGAGGCTGGGTTTTCTTTGACACAATCTTGATCGAACAGAATAGGAGAGAACTCACATGTCATGCTCTGTCTACAGCAGGCCCTGATTAAAGGGAATAGGACCTGGCATCACATTTGATGCTACAGAGATTTCAAAACCAAGGCCAGGTTGACCTGCCAAGCCTGGAGTGGAATTTTATGACTAGTACCACTATTTTCACTTCAGAGTAACCTATAAAGAAGAGGATCTAATGATTAAAACAACAAGTAACTTGGTCATCAGTTTAAACTTTTCAACCCAGGCCCCTACCCTATATCCACACCCTGCGGAGGAGGAGAAAAAAGCACAAAAGCCTCATAGAAGTAACAATTGCTTATTTTAATGTTGGCAACTTATAACTGACAATTATGTTGTTAATTGATAGTTATTTCAATGAGTTGTCATCCATGTAGATTGTTCAGATTAGCAGTGTTGTTTTTGCATTGTGATTAAACCACTGGGTAGCTGCATAAAAACTGTTGTCATCTATTATAGATACATTCTAACATCTCAGAAGAAAAAAAGGGCCTAGCCCCTTTAAAGATACAGACCATTTTTAAAAGAGGCTGGTAGTCACAAAGTCTTGTTAAAACACGATTTTTAGCAGAATTCTAGATTAATGAAAGGTAACATTTAATTAGAGAAATTCCTTTCTATGTAAATGAAGTATTAACTACACAAATGGCAGTAAAAGAGGGAGCAAACGTCAGCAGCAAGGTTACCAGACACACCAAGGAAACATTCCTCCTGCCTAGAATGAGGCTGACAGAGACCCTAGGCTTGTCCTTGGAACTAACGCTCTCAAATTCAGGACAGGTGGCCAACTGCAGGATACAGCTGGTTTCTTTTTAGGACTGGAGACCAGAGCAAGTAAAATCCCACAAGTTTAGCCTGAAGGAAAGGTTTAGAATAAGTTGATAGTCCAAGACTAAATAGCATTTATTAACTCTACATATAAAAACAAAACAAAACCCTCTACTATATCTTACTTAAAAGTTTTCTATGGCTTTCAAATCTTGAAAAAAACAGATTGGATTTCTAAGTTGTTCCACTGCATAGAAGCTTCAAGCTGTAGTTATTTTATTAGCAATAGAAAAGTGATCTTGGACATCTCCTGGCAACAACACCAGAAGCCCAAGCTGCCCCCTCCTAATCTCCATGGGGCAGTCTTGGCCACAAGGTGGCAGTTGCCCAAATCTCAGGCAAAGTGACCTGTTGGAACTAAACGTCTAGAAGACATGTCATAGAGTTTTAACATAAATCTGGATGAAAAGCATTCAAGTTATCAAGTTATTCAACCACCTATTTCCTTTTAACAAACCTGGCAGTCATTCTTGTTAAATTGGAGCAAGATTCCTTTTCATATCAACTGAACGTACTTTTTGGGTTTTTTTGGGTTTTTTTTGGTTTTTTTTGTTTTTTGAGACGGAGTCTCACTCTGTCGCCCAGGCTGGAGTGCAGTGGCGTGATCTCTGCTTACTGTAACCTCTGCCTCCCAGGTTCAAGCGATTCTCCTGCCTCAGCCTCCTGAGTAGCTGGGACTACAGGTGCATGCCACCACGCCCAGCTAATTTTTGTAATTTTTTTAAGTAGAGACAGGGTTTCGCCATATTGTCCAGGCTGGTCTCGAACTCCTGACCTCGTGATCCACCCGCCTCAGCCTCCCAAAGTGCTGGGATTACAGGCGTGAGCCAACGTTCCTTGCCCATGCATCTTTTTAAACTGCTGTTTTGTGGGAGTTGCATCTATGCAGTATTACCTACATTTTTCCAACTCTCCACTCCTGATGTCCCCACAATATTGCTACCCCCTCAATTGGCATTGCCGTGCCACTGTCTCATTTGAGGATGCAGTGGATCTGTGTGGGTTTACACTGCACAGAATTTTTTCCTTTCTTCTGATAAAAGGATTCTTATTTTCTTTAGATAACCACTCCTCACCTACACTCTTCTCCATGGGTTGGGTGGGCCAATCACCACCTCTGAGGCTCAGAGCTGGGCGTGTGTCTCAGGTCCAACCAGTCAGGTTATTCCATTCCTCTGGTCACAGTCAATATATTAGAGATAAGCATAGAACCCAGTCAGTCCAATAAGAACCCACCTTAGGGCTTTTTCTGAAACTTCTGGGAAAGAGAAAGGAAGCATTCTTTCTTTAAGGTGGGGAGAATGTAAGCGTGGAGATGCTAGGCCAGCACATGGATAGAACCTGATGAGAGACAAGCTTTCACAGGACAAAGCAGAATCAAGATAGAGGAGTTCCTCATAGGCGCATAGGTTAACAATTGGAAAACTGCTTTATATATTTGTACTAGGGTTGAGTAAATAGGTAAATATATTGTAGATTAAGAAAGCCAGGTTTCTCACTATCAAAGAAAGAAATTAAAATCAGGAAAGGGGGGAAGTCTAGAATGAACCTTGAGATTTGGGGATTAGAATTGGAGGTACCAGTATGAACTCATGGTTTTTCTCCCCAGTATATACCCAGATAGATAATACAGAAATAAATACAGATATATGTATGTGTGCATGTATGCATGGGAAAATACATATATTTGCTAGCCATATCTGCTAAGCAGGCATAGATGCAATGACATCCCAGTAATGATGAGCACACCTACCAGTCAGATCTTGGGTTCTAAATACCATTCTCCAATAAAAAGAACTGGGACTCCTTGGAGAAGTGAATGAATCCATGGCTGGGGTAGAGAAAATATAAAATGAGCCTGTAATATCTCTTGGTGCTGGAAAGTAGGCAAGAGCTCAAAAAAATGATGAAGGCGTATCAGACAGCATAAAAGAGTTCCCCAAAGCAAAACCTGGAACCATTTGAGCAACAAAATAAGTATTGGATTATAATACTTGAATAAAACAAACATTTATGATATCAATAAATTTTATTTTTTCAACAAATAACTGAACAAATCAACAGAAAAGACACAGCTCTTCTTACAGAAAAAATCCAACTAATAAATGCAGAAGAAACGAGGGAAATAGAAAATTACTATTAGAAAAGTATAGTAAGAAATTTTGCAGGCAAGGTACACCAATGGTCTCTAAAATTAGTGGGGAAAATTTTGAGGAGAAATAAGATAGTTGCATAGTCTCAAAGTATCTAATTCAAGGTATTTAGTAATGACAAAGGGTATGATAGCTTTCCATTGGAGAAACCCAGCAGACATCACTTAAGGTTAACATTCTCCATAATATGATATGTTGACATCATGTACAACTAATTTGATGGCCTCAGAAGCCTATAATAATTCCTAAGATATTCTTAACACAAATGCATAACCTCAGGCTAATCATAAGAAAAGAGTAGACAGGACATTCTACAAAATAACTGGCCACTGCTCTTTAGAAGTGTCAAGGTCATGAAAGGTGGCAAAGATTGAGGAAATGTCATAAAATGGAGGCCACTAAGGAAGCATGACAACTAACAGTGACATGAGACCCTTGACTAGATGCTGGAACAGACTTTAATGG